ATTTTTTATTTTGGGTTAAATAAATAGATAAAAAAAAATATTGTGGGCTATGTCAAAATTAATACTTTCGTATGCTCAAAGTGTTAAAAGCAACTTTTTGCGTTTACCTTGTTCTTTAGTTTAAAACTAAGATGTAAAAACTGAGTATCGAAAAATTTTTACATTCTGGGCCCGGACCTATGATGTCAAACGTTTTACCGTCAACAAAAAAAAATAATCTTGAATTAAAAAAATTTGTATGTTATACAAAAGAGCTTGTCAAGAAGAATAAAAATTATGTAAAAACCAAAAAAACTGAAAACGTTTTCTTCCCAAGACAAACCACTTTTAAGAATCTAAACACTTTTAAAACACAGACCCAAAATATACATATTGGCATAAAAAAGCTAAAAAAAATATTTCATCCATTACACGTTTGCTATACATCAATGATACATTTTTTAAAAATAGTTGTTATTGAAATGAATGTTAAAATAGTTGTTTTTGATATTTTTTATTAAAAGCAATAAACCGTTTCACAAAGTCTATCTTGCGTTCAACAAAATATTAAATGTTTGGTGCGATGTAAAAGTACATAAAAATTTCGAGCAACTGATGAAAAAAATGACGAGCTTTGTGCTGACTTGTATAACTCCATAACTCCAATAGAGTCTCTATAACTTCATAACGCGTAAGAATTTTGCGTTTTGATATTGCGTAACGTATTGTAAAGAACGTATTGAAAATAAAAAATTCTAAATAAATCCACTGTCGAGTAATTGCAGCTTAATTTGCTCAGATCATCATTCAAAAAAAAAAAAAAGATCTTGGCAAAAGTAAATAAATGTTAAAATTCTTTGCCACAAGAATTTAAAATTTTTTGAACCCTTTGAAAAAAAATTTAATTTAATTTCGTTTTTCTATGGTATGGATAGTCTAAACCATATATTCTACATGCAGCTTTTAGTTCTTAATTACCCAATACAGTGTGCTAGAAAGTTTAATAACACAACTGTTTAGTAAACAGCAAATGTCATATAATGACTAACCTTTTCATAAGCATTAAATTTACAAATGTTATATGAACTATTATCTAAGCATTGTGAATAAGCTCAACTTAGAGATTTCTTCTGGTAGTATAGTATAAAGTTTAAAAATTAAATGCATACACACATATATATAAACATAGCAAACACACACATTTATATAATTTTTCAGCTTCTTCCATGTTATATTTTTCCACATGTTTTAAGTGCAGTTTCAATTGATGTTAACAATGATAGCTGATTTATGTATATGATAATTTTTTGTTTTATGTTTATTGTTGTTTATTATTATATTGAGCCTCGAGCTTGTGAATAAATTTATTTAATTTATTCATGTAATATATATATATATATATATATATATATATATATATATATATATATATATATATATATATATATATATATATATATATATATATATATATATATATATACATATATACATATATATATATATATATATATATATATATATATATATATATATATATATATATAAATAAATATATATATATATATATATATATATATATATATATATATATATATATATATATATATATATATATATATATATATATATATATATATATATATATATATATATATATATATATATTAATGCTGAATTATTGTATTGCCAACTAATTTACGTTTAAAAGCTAATAATATACTTTCACAAAAATAAATAACATTAAGTCTCCATTAACTTAAAAAAACATAAAACGCTATAAAAATATCCAAGATTTCCGTAAAAACGGGGGTAAGTGAAGATGTTAATAATAACAACACAAGATTATGATTTATAAACACTAATAATAATTTGTACTTTAAATAAAGAATTATTAAATTTTATATTTATATAATTTTTTATGAAGTCAACAAAATTATAGTTTTATTATAAACAATTATAAACACAATGTTGTTATACGCCATTCAAAAAACTTCCGGAGGTTAAAAATCAAGTAATATTACATCGTTTATTTTATTTTATAGCATATTTGGCCCCCTGATATTTTTAACATTTTTTTTCGTTTGCTCAAAAAAGTATATTCCGTGAAGTTGTTTGGCAAACTCAGAGTTTACGAAAAGGTCTATTATTATATACTATTATCTATTATATACAATCAATGAAAATTCGTTTAACTGGAATTTAAGATGTTTTATTGGCATGTTTTTTCATTAAAAATAATGTTATACGCTACTTTTCTCAAAAAGCGAATGATTTTTTTGCTTTTTAATGAAAGTTTATTAAGCATCATTATATTTTGGAATTATATACTTAATACAGTAGAAAAAAATCTATATGGAGGATTTTAGGCCCCTTTCTTCCACAGATTTATTGAAATGCTACAAATTATTAAAATGCTACGATAAAATTGTTATTAAAAAAAAAGCATTCAGTGGCATCCACAATATGAAAAGCTTAAGAGTAATCATTATTAAAGAAATGGCGTTGGTAAACAGAATTCACAAAGGTGTTGATATGAAAATGGCGTTGGTAAACAGAATTCACAAAGGTGTTGATATAAAAATGTGGAAGGCAAACCTATTTTATTTTAAAAACAGCATTATTAAAAAAAGACATAATACTTACTAAAAGATTTAAATATAAAAGAGTTATTTAAAACTTAAACATTCAAAGGAATATTGTTCATTTTAATTTTTCTTTAGGACTTCGCAAAACATTTCGTTATTGAAATTTGCAAATGGTTACAACATAAATTACACTTGTATTTGATTGCTTTATCTGTCAGTCTCTTAAAATTAGAACAAGATTGAAGCGAAAATGTGGAAACAGTATAAAGTACAATAAAGGTAATAGATAAAGGATATATTAGCAGTTTGTCATTCAAGCATTTGTTATCGAATATAGAAACTAAGCGAGACATATCAGAATATACATATGGTGACATACCTATCAGAATATACTTATGAAGCATTATAAGAACAAAGAATATATTTTTCAATTACATATAAATTAAAAACAGTTACAAATAAATGCAGTTTTGATATTGATTTGCTAAATGACTCAATAAGAGTCGGCACTCATCTTGTGCTCCACGCTATTGATATTGCGAGACGTTTAACATAGCATTCTGAATCCTTTTTTAGAATGCTATGTTTTCTCCTCAGATACAGACGTACTTTTGATGCTAATATTTTACTGTAATTATCTGTACCTTTTGTAACATACTTACAAACTGGAAAAGGATAGAAGAACGCGACATCAGTATCAATAATTGTTTTGAGGCATTTGGTTCCAAACGTTCAAAAGCTTTATTGGGTTTCCATGTATTAAGAAGATGTAATCGTACCAGCCGCTTCTATGGAAAATCCAAATTAACAAAGTGGAAGTCATTCATGGTTGTGAATGGCAAGATTCTGTATGCATTATCAATGTTAGGCGATACTTAATCATTACCAAATCAGTTTACGCTTCAAGATACTAAGCGTTCAGTATTCAATGCATATAGGTTAAAAAACATATCCAACAACATATAGGTTAAAAAACATTGTCCAACAACATATCAATCTTGGCTAAGCTAAGATAGTTTCTCTTTACAAAGTATTATTATCTTTTCCTGAAGACTTCTGCTGGGAGATTAATGGTAAATCCCTTGATCCAATATTTACAGTATTTAATACTTATTGTCTTTCTGCTCAATCCGGTTTATATGAATTAAGTGTTTGTAGTGAAAATCGTAGTACAAAGAGACGCAAGTGTTATAATAACAACTCAACCTGTAAGGGTATATGTAAATGTATTGCATCTGATACATCCGATATAGATGGCTAATAGTTATATTTATAAGCTTGTATTTATCAACTTTTATTAGTTTTACTTATCACTAACACGTCCGTTGTGTAAATTAAATAATCTTTTGTTTTTCTTTCAAACGACTTTTTGCCTGAATAGCTGGAGGAGGGGGGAGGGATATGCTTTTCTTTTTTGATAAACATATAAAAGTGATGCCGTTATGGTATCCATTCCAATACAGTCCCGAGCTTTTTTAAAGAAACATAAAATTTTACCTTTTTAATAAAAAGCGTTAAAAAAACAAGTTGAAACTCCATTAAAACAATCGTTCATGTATGTATTCTATAGATAATTGCTTTGAGCATTACTAAAATTACATTATTAAAAAATCTCAAAGTAAAATTCATTGGGATATATAAGATAATTGGAATGAAAAGTCTATTGTATATATAGATTGTCTTCTTGTGCCGGTCCGTAAATTCTGAGTCTGTAATTTATACACTTCGTAAAGTGATATATATTGGGAAAGAACCGTTTTCAGCATATGGTTTTTAAATATTTTGTTCCTCATGACAAGCTCTTTTGTATAACAAATAAGTTTTTAAATTTAAAATTAACTTTTTTTTTTTGACTGTAATAAGTTTGACGTCATTGGTCCCGGCCTCAAATGTGAAAAATTTTTAGTACCTATTTTTTTCTTTTAGTTTTAACCTAACTAAGAAATTGAAAGCAATAAATTGCTTTTAACGCGTCTGTGCATACAAAGTACACATTGACCCTCAATATATTATTCATTTATATTGTTGGTATTCGAAATATTTTATTTTTGTTCAGTCTAACATTTTAAATCAATATAATACCAATATAATTTTAAATTTTACCATACCCGAATTAAATTTTACCATACCCGAATTAAATTTTACCATACCCAAATTAAATTTTACCATACCCGAATTAAATTTTACCATACCCGAATTAAATTTTACCATACCCGAATTAAATTTTAATGAATTACAGTCTTACATTTGCAATAGAAGAGTGTTAGTTTTAATAAATCAGGACTAAAAAACGTTGATAGCGCAAGCCTTGAGTTTTCTATATCTATTTTAAATATTTTTAAATATTTAAAAATGTGTATAAATATAATTCACTATAATTTGTTTTAGGTTTTTAAAAACTGGTTATTAAAGTTTATTTTTGCTTTTATAAAAACTTTATTATTTTTAAAACTTAAATGAAGTTAAAGAATTAAAAAAAAAAAAAACATGAACGGAACATTATGTAGCAACACCTCTTGTAAAGATAATATAACGTTTACACTGCCTTCTGATGTGAAATATATGTTTGGAGTCGATGTTTTGATATTAATTATCGCTTTAGTGTTTAATATAATTGGCATATTATTGCTTTTCACTCGAAAGCTGAAAAACTTATCTCCACAAAACATCTTTATAATGCACATGAGTTTTGTATCTATTGTAAACATCTTCAATAACGCTGTCGCCATGTATTGGAAATGCTATAGTTTAAAATACACTGAAGATTTTATTGCAGTCTATTACTTTGCACACATGGCATACATTATTAATCTATGTTTACTATCATTAGATCGATTTATGTTTGTAGCATTCCCGTTAAAATATCAATCAAAAATGACAAATTTTATTGTTTTTTGTAGCCTTATTTTTTTATGGATGTTTTCAATGGCATTTGGATTTGCAATTAAGTATGGTGGGATTTTTAATAACTGGTTTAATAGAAATGCAGCATACACTTATAATGGGTTCGTTGTAGCATTAACAGTCTGCGTATATTTATATATAATATTTAAAGTACGTTTTTCATCGTTAAAAAATGATAATCAATTTGTGAATAAAAAGACAAAGAAACTATTTGTTATGCCATTTTTAATCATAACTTCGTTTTTTATGTTTGTTTTTCTTCCACACCTAATTGCTGTATATGTAAAAGTTAAATCGAAAAACCTGTTAGTACTAGCAATGATTGGAGTCAATCTATTAAATAATGTATCAGACCCCATCATTTATATATATCTTCAACCTGATGCACGTAAAAAACTTGGATTATATAAAAAAATCATTAAAACATTTTTTACTTTTTAGAGGTTAAACTTTTTTAACCGTAAAATAAAGACAAAATTTAATTAATTTTTTGTAAAACTAATGTTTACAGCTTGTTTTCATATTTATTTGTGTAACTGTGTGTGTTTAATTTAATGTTGGGAAAACTAATGTTTACAGCTTGTTTTCATATTTATGTTAGTAGTAACACTAGCAACATAAATAGTTTACAGCTTGTTTTCATATTTAGTAGTAGTAACACTAGCAACAATTAACTACTACTTAATAATAAATAATTATAAAAACAATCAAATCGAGTATAACTAGTATATTAAGTAATATTATCATAACATTTAGTGTAAGTAATTAAATGAAAAATAATAAATAAAAAAATAAAAATAATAATGTCAAGTAATTAAAATTAAATGCCGGGAACTTTTCTTAATTTTATTTGTACAAACTTATCAATAACGTTTTGAAAATCAAGTTTTCTTAAAATATCAAACTCAGAGCTCATTATCGCTAGTTGATTGAGCCTGTCTCCGTCCATAGAAGTACGCAATCTATTTTTTATGTGCTTTAAATTAGAGAATGATCTTTCAATACTGCTGTTTGTAATCATAATAACAAGATAAATACGAAGAACTATTTCAACATTAGGAAAACAATCTTTTTCTTCCTTATTAATTAATATTTTATACATTAAATGTTCTTGACTAATATTGTGAAATTCACTGCTTTCATCTTTAAAATGTTTATAAAATTCTTTAAATTGTATAAGTTCGTTTCCTAAGTGTTCATCAATATCATCCTGGTTAATTTTAACAAGTTTAATTGCTTCATTTTCAATTTCTTGGTTACTTAGTTGTTCTATTTTTTGAAGAAAGCCAAATTGTTGGTATTCCAATTCATAAGCACACAATCGTCTATCCAAGTTTGAAATAAACATATCAATTACAAGTAAAAAAATTTGAATTTTTGAGAAGTTAAATCTACCTCGGGTGTTTCATAAAAATCTATTGGATTTAAACGGATATTTCTTTGTCGTTTACGGTGTTTCAAATAATCTGTTGTTTCCGAAATTTCTGCTCCTTGTTTTTCATATTGATCAAAGTTATCACGTTTAGCTTGAAAAAAATTCTTTAAAGACTTAATAGCAGATATTGCAGTATTAAGGTCTAATTTCGCATCTTGCAGTAATTTATTAGTTTTATCTACTCTTTCAAGGATATTATTCCAAAAAACCGTGTAAATTCCAGTTTCAAGTGTGCACAATTTGTTGTATAAACAATTTGCATCGCAACGCGTTTTTGTTGTTTGTTCAAAGTCATCAGCTATTTGAATTAGAGTACTTTTAAATTGATTATAGCCTAGTATAAGAGCTTTTGTTGCATCAGATCTGCATGACCAGCGTGTAGTATTAACTCTTTGTGGTACATGGATACGGGTTTTGGTATTTTCTAAACTTAGAGCTTTAACCAGTAGTTTATAGTGTTTTGTTGATGCTGTAAAAAATACATATAACTGCTCTAAAAAATCAAAAAACTCAACAGCAGCAGTACAGCACTCGGCTGCTGCTTTTCCTATCATTTTCATCAAGTGTTGAATCTAATAAAATTGAAAAATATTTAGATAATTTTATACGAGAAATTATTTCATTCAAAACATTATTTCCCATTTTTTCTTTTAATTCTTCACAGATAGTAGAAGATAAATAGTTAGTGTGCCCACTTCCACGTGTGCCCACTTCCACGATTTGCATGATTTTCAATATGCTGTTTAAGAAAATTATCATACTCAGCTAATAGCTCTATAATTCCAAGATAGTTACCATTTTTTGACGAACCGACAATTTCATTTTTACCACGTAATGCTAAAACCTCGTTCACATATAAATGTTATAACACTTATGAGTCTCTTGATTATATTACGCCAGTAACTCTTTACATCATCACTTTGTTTTATAAGTTCATTGTTAATACGGCCTAATTCTTTTGAACGAACAGCTAAATTTATCACAGAATTTAAATGATCTTTGGAGGTTTCATGACTTATTAATCGATTATCTCCATGCTTCCAGTCACAGAAACCATCATGAGTAAATTGACTGCGTGTTTTGGACATTAATTTACAAACAAAACAAAAAATGCTACCATTGAATGGTGAAAAACATAACCATGAACGCCTAATTATTTCTGTTTGATTTTCAATTATTATTATTATTTTTTTTAATTAATATTTACCTAAGTGGCCAATATACGTATAATTTTTTTCGATTTTAAACAATTTTAATTAGGAAAGGTAAATTTGAAAAGATAAGTATAGTATAGTATGTATACATGAAAAAAGTATTAATTGTAATATTTATTATTTAAACTACCTAACCTGCATATATTTTATTATTATATGCTATTAAATATAAAAAATATATATTATTAAAAGTAATATTTATTCTTTGTATAGTAATTGTAAAACTTTGAACTAACCTCAGAAGAAGAAGAAGTTGTGTTGGGCAGTGTTATGAAACTTTATCATTCACCTAGTTTTTGAAATTATTTCCGTATTTTTTTAATATTTTTCTTTTGCCAATTTTCGTTTATTTGCACCACTCATATAAACTCGCTTTAATTTATGACGATCTTCTTCCATTTTTAAATTTTAACACTATTCACTGGTTAACTGCATACAAATTAAGTTTGATGAAGCATAAAATAAGAAACGCCAAAAGCCTTACACAAAATAAAACTAATAAACAAGAAGTCGATGTAGAATACACTTATCCACTTTACAAAGAAGATAGGGTACGTATTTTATGACTTTCTGTGGTATAACTTAATGCAAAATATATATAAAATATTTTTTCAGTATTCTATGTTAAATATCATAAAATTGTGGGGGCCCCTGGGCTGCAGCCCACTCAGTCCTCCCCTAAATCCGGCCCTGATTTATACCACCCTCAAAAAGTTGTACAATAAAAAAAAAATTAATATAAAAACTACCTTATCAAAAATATTTTATAAAACATCTCTAATAATAACTTTTTGTATAAACATTTGTTCAATAAATAATATTACGCATTCCTATGACAATTGATAAATTTTCTTTTCATCATAAGAGGTAAACATTGAGTTATTAGTAATTATTTCTTAGTAATTCTGTTAACATGTTTGATTTTGCTTGTTCTATATTAAAAAAAAATTGAAAGCTTGATCAGCGCAACCATGCACAAATAGCGGTTCTCAAAAAAAACCGTCAGGCTTTAAATTGTTTAAAATTTCAGAGGACACTGCTCGTAGTTACAAGAGACTAAAATTTTATTTTAATCCAATTTTCTCAACTTAGAACAAAAGGTGGAGCTAAAGTTTTCGTAATAAAGGATACAACTTTAGAATGTAAGATTTAAGTAGAACATATTCAATTTTCCAAGTTTCCAAAAAGTTCCACAGGGTAGCGTTTTGGGTCTAACGTTATTCTTGTTATATATTAATGATCTACCCTCTATAGTAAAAGATCTTAATTGCTCTCTAATGTTATATTCTGACGATATCAAGCTATATAGTTCATTTGAGGATGCCGATTACAGTCACGATCTTGCTGTAGCCATTTATAAAGTTTATCTCTGGTAAAAAAAATGGCAGTTAAAAGTTGCCAATAATAAGTGATTTACTTATAGAAAAGCACCTACTTCATTTTGTAAAGATATAAATTACAATTATCAATTAGGAGATCATAATTTAACTTGGTCTACAAACCCAAAAGATCTTGGTTTGACCATGGTTTCTTACTTAAATTACAATAATCATATTTCAAATATCGTCCGCGCATCAAACATTCGAGAATATCTAATCCTTAAGTGTTTAAAAAGTCGTGACCCACGTGTTATCGTTAAAGCCTACACTACTTATATAAGACCAATCTTAGAGTATTGCTCTCCGGTTTGGTCGCCAAATCGCACTGAAATGAACAATACAGTAGAAAAAGTACAAAGACGTTTTCCCAAGAGAATTGCTAACCTAAATAGCTTTTCATATTCAAATAGACTTAGAATTCTTGGTTTGGAACTACTAGAAATTCGTCGCCTTAAGCAAGACATGATTACATGTTACAAAATTCTGAACAATATAATTTGTCTAAATAAATCAAGTTCCTTTAAATTTAACAACTTTATTTACACTTGAGGACATATTTTCGAATTACGCAAACTAAAATGTAAACTCGATGTCCGTAAATACTTTTTCTCACTCAAGGTTGTTAATATTTGGAATAACTTGCCGTCTGACGTCGTGAACGCCAAAAATATAAAGAGCTTTAAAATTAAACTTAACTTTGAAAAATACTGTTTCAGCTAACTGGTTTTTGTTTTATAACTATTTTCTTATATATAATTGTAATATATATTTTAAATTATCTAGCATATGTATTATGTGGTTGTAGGGCGCGTTGTCAGAGTTCTTCCTATTTTATGAACCTGCGTGTCCTTTAGAACATGTATCACTGTTCTAATAAATTTTAATCTAATCTAATTTTCAATAAATATTTGATAAAAAAATATAAAAATTTTAGAAACTAAATAAAATAATAAAAATCAACTAAATGATTTTAAAAATCACTGTATTCATAGTAATGAAAACACGAAAACCCAAAAATGTTACAAAAGTATTCTTGCATTAAACATGAGCAGAATATTTACTTGTATACATTTTTCCATTTAGGAAAAAAAGGAAAAAATATTAAATTTCTGGCCAAATCCAAATAAAAACTCAGGAAATCAGTTATTTAGATTGTTGTGTTATTAAAAAAAGTGGATTTACAATTTCCACGTGCGCCTTGTTTCATTAAGTTTTTTAAATCTACAACATCATTTATTATACTTATTATAATATGTATAATACTGTTATAATTTATACCAAGGATTAATTTAATTTGGGAATCCATTTTGGCTTTATTGAAAAAAAGTTTATAATATGTATAATACTGTTTACTACCATTATATATGTTTACTATACTATTATATATTATATACTATTATATACTAATATTATAATATGTATAATACTGTTATAGTTTATACCATGGAATAATTTATTTTGGGAATCCAATTTGGCTTTAATGAGAACAAGTTTATAAGTATATGCCAGAAAACTTCAAAAAACAATTTTTTCAACAAGTTAGATTATTAATTGTACATACAAATTTTATCAGAAACCTTCATCACTAAGTGAATAAAGATCTCTAAGTAACTAAGTGAGCACATCACTAAGTGAGTAGAGCTCTATTCTTATGAACATCTTGTAACATTTATAAACATCTCGTAACATATAAAAGATTGTATATATTTTTCTGTAAGAAAGTGCAAACTTCATAATACTACAAATACAATTGATCTATTTCTCACAAAGTAATTGTAAGATTTGGTTTTCTTAATATAGAACTATGGGGTGAAAAAATAAATAAACAAATTATATTAAAATAATTAAATAATAAAGGAAACAAATTAGTTATAAAATATTGATATTTCACGCAGTAGTTTTTGATGACAAGACCTAAAGGTTTTCTGCAAGTCTTCGCATTTCTTTTTTTGAATCGTTTTGTAAAATACTCGCATATTTATCTTCCTTTTCACTTATCTTATATTGTATTTTTTATCTTAATATCTCATTGTGTAAATTTTTTTAAAAGAAATAAACAAAAAAATCATTACATAAATACATACATACATTTATGCAGTGCCGGATCGAGGGGGGAGCTAAGAGAGCTATAGCCCCGGGCCCCGCAAATTTAGGAGCCTCAAAAATTTTAGAGGACCTTTTTTTTATCATTTTTTGGCTCTGGCCCATAAAAAGGTTTCTAAAAACAAAAATAGCCCCGGGTCCCAAGTAGTCTTAATCCGTCACTGCATACATACATACATATATACAAACATACATACATACATACATACATACATACATACATACATACATACATACATACATACATACATACATACATACATACATACATACATACATACATACATACATACATACATACATACATACATACATACATACATACATACATACATACATACATAATATGTTGTTCAACACCAGTTTACCGAAAACCGGTATACCTGTTGTTTTTCCAATACCGTTACCAAGATTCCAAACCGGTATATACCGTTATATATATATATATTGGTTCTCTTAGCACAGGTTATTGTCAAAAAAAAAATCACATATTTTAAACAATTTTTTCAGTTATTTTTTTGTTACAGAAAATGGCATTGCTCCTGTCTTTGATTTGGCAACACACTCAGACTCTTTAAATAATGTAATATTTCCATACGCTCTGTAGTTTCATCCCTACAAAATCTTTCATCAAAGTCATTTAAATCACTTAATGGATATCCAGCAATACTTTTAAAATCAATCGCAAACACCATTGCTATTCCTCTTTCCATACTGTTCGTATTGTCCATGTCAAAAAATGTCATACCTTTAATCTGGAAAACCGCTAAAGTGTGCCCCATCTATTGGAAAAGAAACCTGTCATTAACCACAAACTATAGACCTACTTCTATGACGTGCATTGTTTGTAATGTTATG